AAAAAGGCTTAGAGTTTTCTTTCCCACCCTCCCACCCTGAAGCACGGGCTCCCGTGGAGTTACCCTGCTTCTTGAAGGCCCCGTAGGGGCTGGGGACGCGCATTGTTATGCGATCGTAACCCTCATCCAAGATGGATGGGTGCTCAAGCCCGAGAATCGGGCTTCGGCCAACTGGGTGTCAGTTGTGCCTGGGTTACAGTCTATCCGGAGGAACCCGATAGAATCCCAAAGCATATCTTCGTGTAGAGGTTGTGTGATGCAAAGCGACTGAGTTCGGAGCGGTGCAAAAGATCGAAGTCGCATAACTCTAAGCATGCTTTGCAATGAGCAAAAGTCAGAGCTTAGCCTAGCCGAGGCAGGGGGCGAGACGGAGTTCCTGGCCCTGAATGCCAAGGCCCGGTATCAAACATAGAACAGAGACACTGACAAAGCATGCTCATAGTAGCAAACATTACAGGCAATGGCAACAGGGAACCTTTAGTAGTGATAGTGACAGTGGCAGTAACAATAAAACTAAGTGTAAGAGTAATAATTCTGATCCTAATCCTTTTTCTTACACCTAGCACTAATATAGATACTGAGACTGATACTGATACTAGTGCTCTTACGAATAACTAATCCTAATGCTATTGCTGAAGCTCATGCTAATGCTTATCCTGATGCTCAAGTGCTAATGCTTGTGACAATAATAACAACAACATGGCACTCGTAGTACGAATAAGATTACTGCCAAGGGCGACGCACAGGCTTTCAGAATCTTCCAACTAATCCGCAGATAAGGGTTCCGATAAAGGGCTACTATACAAGAGTACCAAGAGGGATGCTATAATCGCTACAATGAAGGAGTACCGCAAGATTTTACTGGAAGGAGAAGAGACGGAGAGATGAATCCGAGGTCCGTCCTGTACAGGGCTCAGCGGCCATCTGGACCAATGCGCTGCACTCAGAGGGCGTCAGAAAAACACCCAGCTTCGATTCCTGGAAGCCTGCAAGCCGTCGTGTATGACAGGTGAATTCTCAGGGAGTTCCCACCATGGAGACTAGCCATTTGGCGAATCCCGTGCTCCAGGACGGGGTGCCTTTGATGCGTCGCATCTCGTTGTATGCTGCAGGCATGTTGAAGGCAAGCGCAAGTGCAGGGGGCCAGGGCTGCAAAGTACCCATCCCTACTGGTACCCTGAAACTGCTTCCCCTCTTTCAGCATGGCTCTGCTAGGACGGCGTCATCAAGTTTCTTGGCCATGCGAGTTGTTTGCGGTTGTGGGTGTGATCATGATGGCAGGCACGAGTTGAAGATATCCACGCCTAGTATATATAGCGTCAATGCATGAAGTGGTTTTGCTGAGGTATGCCCTGAACATCTGGGTCACGGACAAGCCATACCCGAATCGGACATGGATATGCTGGCGTTAGCATAGAACGTGGTTCCCAGGCACAAAGCCTGGATCCCACAGCAGTCCTCGATGTGAAAAGAGTGAACCAACAAGTATCTGCGACTGGTGATTCGTAGGCCTGATCACATGGGGGGAAAGGGAGTGTATTCGTCGGTTGCGTTTCCATGCTTTAGATGGCGCAAGAGAGCCAAAAGAGCCAAAATGACCGCAAGCTTTTATGCTGTCAAAGGGCCTGAGCATTGGGTGTTAAAGGCCTCGCGGCGTGAAGCGTGTGGTCTTGTGGTTTCAGCCGCTTCTTCGGAGCGGTCTTCCCATCTTGAGAAGGTCGACTGTAGTCGAAAGTCGGGGCTCCTTTCCGACTCCGGCAATTGTCTGCACATTTGCCGAGGGCCAACTACACATGCAAGCTCGTGCCACTGGATGCATCCACTTTTTGATCTAAGAGTCAAAGGGCGGGCTGACAGAATTTGCCAGGTGCTTGGAAAGCCTGATAGCCCCGACAAGCTGAAGTGGCTCCGGCCTGAGCTGGACGTGCAACCGCGGTCCAATTTGCGGTGCTCACGAGCTCTGCAAGCGCCCAGGCTGGCGGAGCTCCTGCAGAGCCAGAACAAGGCCTCCATGGTTGTGATGCCGAGCCTGCGCCGACCGCAGTGTTTCGCCCCCTTGGTTGCGAAGGCCAGCGTCGACAAGGTGAACAAGATCATGCAGGAGCACACCCTGCATTGAGGGAGGGTCCGCTATTGGACAATTGCCAGCATGCATCTCCCTGATTTGCGACCAGTGATCAGCAACGCCTCAAAGCCCTCACACAGGGCTTAGGCTTCAAGTTTAAGCTATCTCCCCCATGTCTGTGCAAGGTGTTTTCGACATGTGGCTGTGATCATGCTCTTGGCTTCATTGCAATGCTTTCTCCTTCAGAGATGAAATCACAAGGCCGCAGATCCCGACTAAGCACCCACGCAGAAAGACGCCTCGTGCAAGGAAGAACTGGCCACGGCTCTATGCCCAGATAGCCCATATGGTTATCCAGCATAGATATTTCCTTCAGAACTTTAGTCCGACCAAAGTGCCTGCCATGGCGACGACCGCCAATGGCTTCAAGGCACGCGGTCAGTGCCAAGGGCTTCAGGGGGCCATCGCAGAGCCTCTGCATGTATGGGCCTCTCAGAAACCGCCTTCGGATCGGGTGAGAAGAGCCCATGCCAGGTGCTGCTCATGGGACGCGCGGGCGCTGGGCACCCGGATCCGACAGGTCAAACTGGTCGAGAACGGATACGATCAAGATCGCTAGCCTTCAAAGCCAAGGCTGGAAAGACGTCAATGAAGTCCATCATCTTCGCAAACTATCATTCCAAGGCAACGGAAATGGGTCAGATTTCTTTGGCCTTCTTGAGTCGACGAGCGGGTCGGCTTTGGCAGAGGACACGAAGTTGCTCCAGCCGACAAACCACGTGGAGCACAACTCGCTGGAGACTCAGAGACTCAGATCGTCTGCAAGGAAAGCTTCGCGAAAGAAGCTTCCGCCTCTCCAGCGGCGGTTTTCCGGTTCTGATGTGAACTTATGCATGAGGCTGGCTCCTTGTATGTCTACGTATACATGCGCCGTTCATGAGTGCATCTGTTCGTTCGTTGGTCCGTTCGTTTGCTTGGCTGATTGGTATGTGCGCGCACACAGAATAGCTGTTCTATACTGTATACATATAACTGCATGTATGTCATATGTTTAAACTGGCTTTTATATCTGCATCATGCATTCATTTGTTTACTAATTTGTTCATTGCTTCACTGCATTTCCAGACATGTATATATATATATATATGTATGTATGTACATTTCATTTCACAGGCTGAGAGACCGTCGGTCGCGCCTATCGCAAAGAAAATGAATTCCGGTGAAACTAGACAGTGGGGCTTCTCAGCCCTTCACCATCCAAAATAAAGCCGCTCGACAGAATCCACGTCGATGCAGGCTCTATTGCCGCCAGGGTCTTTCGCGAAACACGGATTGCGGTTCTAGACAGCTGAGTCTGCTGCGCAGCTCCCCCTAGCACATCACAGACACCCTCTAGGAAGGCGGCTTCGCGGCGAGCGCCTGCCAGAGACGCTCCACCCACGAAAGGGTGAATGAAGCTCGGGCAAGGCGGCTCCTCAAGCTCAAAGAACGCACATTCACCCGACAACACAAAGCGTAGAGGTGACGCCACCGGCCCCGGCAAGTCCGGACAACAGGACGTCACCTTCGAACCGCTTTTGGTGGCACAGTACGAGTCGCAGCAAATTTCTGGGTCTAAGGAAAGGATGGCCTCTTCGACGGCAGAAGCTGCAGCCGGTGGAAAGTCGTCCCCAGACTGCCAAAGCTCCAACGTCCGCTTCAGAACCGCAATTGGCTCGATGAAGTCAACTACTCTTTCCCAAACTCTGTCCGCTGAAAAATCCGTGAGCGCTTTGAGCTGTTCCAATAGTCCACGACAGCAGGCCGCTGGAGTGGAGTCCTCATAGGAGGCTGCCGGTCGTGCACAGGCCTGGAAACTACCCCAACAGGCACGACAGCGCTCAGCATGCAAAAGGTGTCTGCGCAGACGTGCGGTCTTGGCAAAGACCTTGCCGCAACCGCGGCACAGAGTGTCTCCGGTGCTGCCTGCCAAGACCGACGCCGCTATGCGGTATCCGTGCGTCTTGGACGAATGGCATGCCCAGGCGGACCTAGACATAAACGCTCTGCGGCAGACCAGACAGGCCTCTGTGTACTGGTTGACGCCAGGAGGTTCAAGCAAGGGCACGCCTTCACAATACTCCGAGCGTGTGACGCAAGGCTTGCAACGCTGCAAAACACTGGATGCGACGTAGCTCCAACCCCTTGGCTCGTTTGACTAAGCCGCGGAAAAGCCCCGGTCGGTTCAAACAGACGTCGCACCAAGGCCTCCAATCGCTCAGGGGGTGTGGCAACTCCATAGTCGCAGAAACCCTTGCATACAACCATGCTAAGGCATCCCTCAAGAACCTCAAAAGAGTGTCCTGATCGGAGAGACCCAACAAAGTACACATCATGGCAAGATATGGCAAGGGTCACGTGTTGATCAGCGTCTGGGTTCAAACCAAGGGTGGCTCGGTACAAAGAAGTAACAGCGCCACTAAAAGTGCGACCCTCAACAACTCCAAGGGGCGGCCAGGCGCCCGCACCGAAGACGAGCTTGCTGACAACAAGGAAGCCAAAAGAGTGCCTCTACGCCGAACCGCAATACGCCTGCATCGGAAGATTTTGGTACGGCCTTCCCGCGTCTGAAAAACGCCGAAATGACGGTAGGACTCCACAAGGGACAGGGAGGAGGGGCAGCCGTGCTCTCGAAGGATGGGGATCGCCGCCCGTGGCCGAAAGAGAGAGCGACGGACTGCTTTGGCACCCGGCCCACGAGGGCTCAAGATGGCCGCCGTCTTGCTCTGCCCAAAGGAAAGCTCGAACCCATGGCTGCTGAAAGCGTCCGTCAGGGCCCCAACGGCAGTACTCAGAACGCGTGCTGAGTCATGTGCCAGGTCAATGGCCAAGCAAGACGAAACATCGTCAGCCCACACCAAGTCAGCCAGATCGGCCGACCCAGCCGGATCCTCGACCGGGCTCCAATCCCTGTGCAAGTTCCAGGGAACAGGCGCACTGCCACACTCCGGTACGGAGGCCAAGTTGGCATCACAACCACGGCAAAAGTGAGGTCAGCCCAGGCCGACCCAGGCCGGGTGCCCTTGTGCGTCAGAATGGGCGTGGCATCGTTCTGCAAACAAAACCAAGTGCCCTCATTCAGGGTGGTAGTAAGGGCCTGGAGCCAGGCTCCCGCGCCGTCTTGGGCAAGAGCGGATGGCTGCATAACCTGAAATGCTGGATCATCTTGGTCAAGCGCAACATCTGCCTCAACCTTCCCAGCTAGCTCTGTCTCAGCGAGGGGTGCCGAGACGCAAGAGCCCTGGTCGTACGATAATAAGCGGAAGCAACATCAGCGAAAACGACAGCCGAGCTCAACCCTCTCACCGCATGCCAACGCATGAAGGCTCGCATGGCGTGAGAACCAGAAACCACGCTGCCTACAATCCTGCCGCTGAGGTGAAGGCGAGACGCATGGTCCTGAAAATGCCGCTGGATCACAGGGCGAAAGGCTCGATGTATCGCTTTACAGAGATGTGAGAGCAGCAGAATGCCCCTAAAGGAGCCGCGCTCGCTTTGAACTCCACGGCCTTTAAAAAGCCAGGTGAAAGTGCCCCCCTTATACCCCAAGCTTTCTTCACCGAGCAAACCCAGCTTGAGCAGAAGTGGGTACAACAGTTGTTGCATGGCATAAGGGCACGAAAGCCCGATCCCACCAGGGAGCCGGTCTGGACCACAAGCTTTGCCCTTTTTGCGGCTGCCAATGCCCGCTGCAGCTCGATGGGCGTTGGAAAGGCCGAAATGTCTTCAGGCCACGGCCATTGCTGAGGCCCCATCAGCAACCGTATGCAATAGGCTTTGGGTGGAGACCTCCTCCAGAGAACTGAAGTGTTCACGCCCGCGGCGCATAGCATCCTCAGGTGTGGCACAACGGGTGCCATCCTTCTCAAGGATAGAGGGCAAAACAGCCGGAGCGAAGGGCTTTTTACGTCTCCGGCAAAGGAGCTTGTTCAATGCAGATGTGGCCCGGTTGGGGTCCCGTTGGACTTCATCCGCCAGCTCAGTTATGTAGTGAGCCAGACCGCTTCGATAGAGGGGTGGGGGGG